TCTTACTATGTTCTCCTTCCCGACGGTCGTCTGCAGAAGGTGGCCTACACTGTCAACGGCGAGTCCGGTTACGTGGCCGAGGTCAGCTACGAGGGTGAGGCCCAGTACCCCGAGTACAAGCCTGCCTACAACCCAGCTCCTGCATACAAGCCAGCTCCTACCTACGCCTATTGAATATATTTATGATGAATATTTATTAAAGTGAGAGTCTACTAATACTTATCTCTTTCACCTGTTAACTTGAATTAGTAAAAGATGGGGATATATACAGTATCCAGTTAGTTTCCAAAGCCAACATCTAAAGATTCTTCAATTACAAATTCGATATAGCTGGTAAAATATTTTCAAAGTTACTCCTAGGACATAGCAATGAGTAGGTATATGACATAATAACTGAAATATTTCTGATATACAAGATGTGGTGCACACAGCCGTGTTAAACTAAAAAGTTTCGGGTAACTAAGTATGTAACATACACTATTATGTGCAGTTAGCCATTTCACACTTTCATGTTTGGGAAGGTCCCATCATGATCCTAAATAAAGCCATATGTACTAACTGTATGTATTAACTGACAAAAAAAAAAAAAAAAAAAAAAAAAAAACGCTAATAGTGAGTAATTTAAAATATACAACCATTTAACCATTTCTTCTGAACTATCGGCAAGGCATACAACTCGTAAAAGGAAATTTCGTGTTCATTATTAGCAGTTCAGCACACTACCTTGGCGGACAGGGGCTGAAAGTCGCCAACAGTAATTAAGAATGGATTCATACTTGCCCTTTCTCTATTTGCGTCATATATATGAAAACAACAATTGTATTATGTCCTAGTATAAATATATATTAAACATGAATAATTATGACATGCGTAATGACGCATAATTAAAATATATAGCATAATGAGGGTCACATGCTTATGATTAAAGTTAGGCTACTTTGAACAATTTCTGTTCAAACATTTAGCCATTGAGAAGTATAGTACATATGCAAAAACAGTACCTTGTTTCAAACGTTTATGAAATTAATCAGATTCTCTGCACACGCATTTGGTATCTAGGTGGGGCCTTCTCAATCAAGGATTGTCCCTCGGGAAGGAATATGAAATGACCCTCTGCAGTTATCGTCCTATATAAGAAATAAATATCCGAATCAGGGGTTAGACACTGCTACGAGAGTGCACCGGAATTTGTATATTTGGTTTAAAACATTCCAATCATTATGATTTATACCTACTAACAAGCATACTGTGAAAGGAGAAAGAAACCATGATCTTGAGGTGCATTTCTTTTGTAACGTATTTGAGGAATCTTTAGATGTTGGATTTTGGAGCAAAAGTTTTATCGACAGTTTTTAGTTATTCAGGTGAACAGGTTAAAGAGACAAGTGTTAGTAGACTCTCATTTTAATAGATATAATAATACTGAAATGTATTTAGGCGTACACAGGGGTAGGCTTGTAGGAAGGTACAGGGTTGTAGACAGGCTTGTACTCGGGGTACTGGGCCTCACCCTCGTAGCTGACCTCGGCCACGTAACCTGAGTCACCGTTGACAGTGTAGGCGACCTTCTGCAGACGACCGTCGGGAAGGAGAACGTAGTAAGAGCCCTGAGTATCGTAACCGTCACGAGCCTCCTGATGACCGAAGTCGTTGCCGGAGTAATCGTCCTTCACGGCATAGTTGTAGTCATACTTGGCAGGCACCTGGAAGATATCCATGGAATTAGTAGAATGCTATACTTTATTTATGTATTATTTTTTTTCAGTAGCATATGTGGTATTCAGATTACCAAAACTTTACTTACCTCATAGGCAGGCTGAGGAGCATATCCATAGGCTGGCTGAGAAGGAGCAGAGGCAGCAACGGCCACGAGGGCGAGGGCAATGATAGTCTAGAAAGAAGTGAGAATATGAAATTACGAGTTCCGTTCATCTTTCTTCCTCATGTGCAAAAATATGTCATGGTATTATAGAATGTGCTACGATCTTTGTCTTTATTCTATTTTTCATCATCGTTATAATTATTAGCTGGTAAAGTTTGTTCTAATATAAATCTGATTTAGGCAGGCTGACATTTCTTACCTTAGTGAACATGATGAAAGTAGATGAAGTGTGATGCTCCCATTACTTCCCAAATCCCTTTTTATACGGTGGTCCACGAATAGGCCTACAGTAGACACGCCCCTTCTTTCCTTTTGCGCGACCTACACCTTGGATCATAACCATCATTTTCTTTAACAGACCATACTGCCACGTAAAGCACTACTGTTCCTTTGATTATCTATCTTCAAAAATATAGTTCAATCACTAGCGGCCACGATTGTACTAAATGGGTGTTTATAGTATTTCTTACTGTGGTGAACATATACGCGAATGAAATGTGATACTCCCTCAACTCACTAAGTCTGTTGTATACTGTGGTCCTTTCGTGCGACCTTTACCTTGAGATACGATCATCGTCCACTCCATATGACCCTATTCCACCCTTACATTGAAAATCTGCGCTAAATTACAGTAGCATCTTATCGTATTACGCATTGTACAAATGTGGTAAGAAAAAAGAGGGAGAGGTAGAGCAGGTGTTTGCAGCCTATTTAGATGTTATTGCATTCGTAGATGCTTGTTACTGTTTCCCATCAATTGTTATTTAAGTTATATAATTTCAGCGTTATGTTTGTGTCTACCCTTCTACGTAAATTTACAATTCAGTATTCGTCATTACATTTCTCTTTACTACAATTATTTTATTTTTAAAAAATCAATACCCATAAATATGCAATTTATATGAACACAATGCTATATATGGTTGCATTTTTTTCTCGTTATATATTACACATGAAAGTTAGAGAAGTAATTAGGCTGAAAGGTTTTAAGGGTAAATGACAGTCAGAATTAGAATGAACACTCTTAAATTGATAATAAATTGGCATTTATGCATACGTAACTACCTATCTATATGCATACATATAATCATACACACATATATATGCACACACACACACACACACATGCATATACACAGAAAAACATACAGACACACACAAAAAAACACGGATATACATGAACAAAACATACACGGGCGCGCGAGGGTTGTTAGTCTGTTCTCCCTCACTGTTTTGCTGGAGTGCATAGCCAAAGGCTGTTTGAAAAGGAACAGATGATGATGTTACTAAATTCCATTTCATATATCGATTTGCAACATAATGATTAATTCAAGCAGACATACGTAGTTGAACCAAACTTTCGTAGGTAGAATATTCTGTTTTGCTGTAACATTCACATGATAATTCTTAAGTGAGACCGCACTCAACAATTCCCCCTACTGAATATTTTAATAATGTATAGAAATCTGTGCGATGTTATGGATGAATGTAATTTGTAAATTGGAATATAGTCTGTGGAGAGGAAGATGATGGTTATAATCCAAGGTGAAGGTCGTACGAAAGGAAGGGGCGTGTCTGCTGTAAGCCTATTAGTGGACCACAGTATAAAAGGGACCTGATAAGAGATGGGAGCATCACACTTCATCTACACCCCACCATGTTCACCAAGGTGAGAAATGTCATGACACTAAATATAATTTGTAATATTTTTTTTTTACAGAGTTGAAATCACAATATTTTCCATGACAAGCTGACAAGGGAAATACGAAAAGAAACTTGAAATATGATGTAATTATTACGTTCTAGACTGTCGTTGCCCTCGCCCTTGTGGCCGTTGCCGCCTCTGCACCTTCTCAACCAGCCTATGGATATGCTCCTCAGCCTACCTATGATGTATGTACACTTTGAATTTTACATCTGAAAATTACTAATATATATAAAAATTACTAATATACATAAAAAAAATAATTTAGTATCACATGATTCTAATACTGCGCAACTTTTCCAGGTCCCTGCTAAGTACGACTTCAACTATGCCGTGAAGGACGATTACTCCGGCAACGACTTCGGTCACCAGGAAGCTCGCGACGGTTACAATACCCAGGGTTCCTACTACGTTCTCCTTCCCGACAGTCGTCTGCAGAAGGTGGCCTACACTGTCAATGGTGACTCCGGTTACGTGGCCGAGGTCAGCTACGAGGGTGAGGCCCAGTACCCCGAGTACAAGCCTGCCTACAACCCAGCACCTGCATACAAGCCTACCCCTGTGTACGCCTATTGAATATATTTATAATGAATATTTATTAAAGTGAGAGTCTACTAATACTTATCTCTTTCACCTGTTAACTTGAATTGGTAAAAGATGGGGGTATATATAGTATTCAGTTAATTTTCAAATCCAACATCTGAAGATTCTTCACGAAAGAAATGCACATCGAAATTGCAGGTAAAACATGGCAATAAGTAGACACAAAACAATATTTGATATACAAGGTGGATGCACAAAGCTGCGTTAACCCAAGGTCCGGGTACTTAAGTCCATGATATATATTATTATGTGCAGATGGCCATTTTACATCTCCCTTAGTAGGGCAATCCATGTTGTTTCATGATTTTAAAGGAATGCGCAGCGAGCCTAAACAATTTTAGGGACGTTTTAAATCCATTTGTAGAACCTTTATGTATATACTGTCAAAGGTCAATATTCAGCACTTAATCTCATTAGTTATTTTCAAATCTGGAGTTGATCGAAAAACCTAATTTAATCATAAGCATAATGGACGTCTCACTTACTTCAGTAGGTGCTGGTGCGGTGCATCTTTTTCTGTATAGCTTGAAATAACCATTTTAAACAAAAATCGCCAATAGTGCGTTGTTTAAAATATACAATTTTTAACAATTTGTTTCGAGCATATAATTCATGCAAGGAAATTTCGTGTTGATTGTTAACGGTGATCTATCTTGGCGGGCAGGGGCTAAAACTGGCCAATATTATTTAAGAACGGTTTCATACGTCTACATGCACGCAAAAACGACCCTTACCCTTCCTCTATTTGCGCCTTATATATATCTATATAAGTATTTGTAATATGTCCTAAGTATGATTATATAATAAACATGAATTATGACAAAAGCGTAACGACACAATTAAAATATATACACTGAAGAACGTACATAAACGTTGCTCTGAAAACTGGGGAAAAGTTATATATTTTTAAAGATTTGCAAACTATACACATGCTTTATGCCTCAAAACGTTTCTGAAATTGTTCAGATTCGGTGTACACGCATTTGGTATCTAGGTGAGGGTTTCTCAAACAAGGATTGCCCCACAGAAAGAAACCTGAAAGGACCCTTTGCAGAAATTGTCCAATATAAGAATATCCGAAACAAGGGTTAGACACAGCTACGATAATGCACCGCAACCAGTATATTTGGTATAAAACATTTCAATCATTATGATTTATAACTACAGCATGATCTTTTATAACATATGAGGATTTTTTAGATGTTGGATTTTGGAACCAACCATTAATTTTATGCTTATCGACAGTTCCTAGTTATTCAATTGAACAGGTTAAAGATATATGTGTTAGTAGACACACTTTTTAATAAATAGCTATAATTATGAAATTTATTTAGGCGTACACAGGGGTAGGCTTGTAGACAGGTACAGGGTTGTAGTAAAAACCCTGAGTATCGTAACCATCGCGAGCTTCCTGGTGACCGAAGTCGTTGCCAGAGTAATCGTCCTTCACGGTATAGTTGAAGTCATACTTGGCAGGGACCTGGGGAATATCCATAATATTAGGAGCATGTTATATTATACTTATTTATATGTTTATTTATCAGTTTTGTTCAGAAGTATGTGATATTTAGATTACCAAAACTGTACCTACCTCATAGGCAGGCTTAGGAGCATACCCATGGGCTGGCAGAGGAGCAGAGGCAGTAACGGCCACGAGGACGAGGGCAAAGATAGTCAAGAAAGAAGTGAGAATATGAAATTACGAGTTCCGTTCATCTTTTTTATCTCTTTATATTTTATCAAGCGCAAAAATATCGTATTGTATTGTAGAATGTGCTACGATTTTTTTTTCATCATTATCTTTATTATTTTTTGGCTTGTGAACTGTTTTAATCTAAATCTGATCTAGGCAGGATAACATTTCTTACCTTAGTGAACATGATGAAAGTACAGTTACTAACGAACACGATTGTGCTAAATCTGAAATTTACTGTGTTACTGATATATTGATATAGGAAGTTTATTGCACGACTCACTTCCACTTAGGTAGCCGTTATCTAAGTACCTCAACCACTTAGTAAGGTAGGTCTGACACAACGCGTGTGTGTACTCAGTGGTCTTTTGCGTCTAAGCATTTCTACGTGTATATATGTGGGCATACATATACATGTAAACTGATACGCACACCCACTAAGACAAATGTCGCATAGAACAGAATTAATAAATGAATTTGCTTGCAAGGTATTGGAGATATCTTCTAATACATGCAAGTGGCAATAATACGTACGTACTGTGGATGTTGTATGCATGTATGCAGGCATATTGCAGTCTTGTATACTGACGTAAGTTTAGATGTTCCTTAAAAGAACTGTGGACAGCTTTATCCTGGAATCAGCTGTATAAGTTTGAGGTAAAGAAAAAAGTCTGGCCCATGTTAGTATCGACACTTCAAAAGTTCTAATTATTGTCATTGATTCTGACAATAATTCACTGCTAACATCTCTCAGTCTCATAGCTTCCTCAACATTTACGTTGAAAGGCTCAATGGACGGTATGATAAACCTTTACAGTACTATTGAGCAGAGTTTAATTGTAACGAGAGTAAAATAGCCAGTTATGGAGAGAAATATAATGAATATATTTCAAGGACAAGGTCACACGAAACGAAGGGGCGTGTTTACTATAGGCCTACTCGCGGACCACAGTATAAAACGGAATCGGTGATCTATGGGAGTATCACACTTCATCTACCACCATGTTCACTAAGGTAACAGATATGACAAGCCTGCCCTAATCAGACAAACGAAAACAGACCATAGCTTACCATCGATATTAACCGTAGCAAATCAGATTAAACCGTAACATTTTTGAGTATAATGAAGAGACATACAAAAAGCTCGCAATCATATATTTACTTCTCTCTAGACTGTTGTTGCCCTCGCCCTCGCGGCCATTGCTGCATCTGCTCCTTCTCAACCAGCCTATGGATATGCTCCTCAGCCAAACTATGAGGTAAGTGTGAATTTGGAATCTGTTTTTTTTGTTGTAAATTTTATATATCTTGTATTGTATAATTTTAACTCTATGCATCTTTTTCTAGGTCCCTGCCAAGTACGACTTCAACTATGCAGTGAAGGACGACTACTCCGGCAACGACTTCGGTCACCAGGAGGCCCGTGATGGCTACGATACTCAGGGTTCTTACTACGTCCTTCTTCCCGACGGTCGTCTGCAGAAGGTGGCCTACACTGTCAACGGTGACTCCGGTTACGTGGCCGAGGTCAGCTACGAGGGTGAGGCCCAGTACCCCGAGTACAAGCCTGCCTACAACTCTGTACCTGCCTACAAACCAGCACCTGTTTACGCCTAAATGAAATTCTATATATTATGAAGGATATTTATTAAACGGAGAGTCTACTAATACTCATCTCATTACCCAGTCTTACACTGACAAGTTTCTTAATAAAATATAATGCAGAGGTCATATATAACACACCGTTATAAGAGTACATACAGTCCATATAGAATTTGAGGGAAAAGCTGAAATAACCACATTAAAGACAAGGTCATCTTGAGTACTCTTGACTGATTATACTGTTGCACTTTACATATATACACATATAGATATATATGTGTATGTATGTATATATATAAAATATGTATAATGTATATATATTACACACACACACACACACATATATGTATATATATTATGTATATATTATATATATATTATATTATATAGTTTATATGATATATAATATTATATAGTTTATATGATATATAATATTATATAGTTTATATGATATATAATATATGTATGATATATATATAATATATATGCAATATATATGTATATATATTTATATCTCATATATAAATATATCATATAATGTATATATACATATATATTACATATATATTTATATATATAATGTATATATGATATATATAATACATGTTATATATATAATACACACACATATGTATATGTATATATACTTTTTACACAATATACATACACACACACACACATATATATATATAATGTATTCCATGTACAATGGCTTTAACAGGGTCTTAGTAGTTTGCAGCACTGTTGCCGTTGACAGGGCTATGGTAATTTATATGACTGTTATTGGCAGGGTCATTTTTTACATGTTTTATAAACAGGTAGCACATCTGTGCCATAGAAAAAAATAAATGCAATGGATAAAAAAATCTTCCAGTGTTACTACAACTACACAACAAGAATAAGTGAATATTGAAAGTGCCAATAAAATTCTAATTTCTAAATGTTTGCCATTACTTATAACATGTTCAAACTTAAGTAAAAAGATAACATTGACATGTACACTTTCGCCTCACTTATAATTCCTACCGATACGTCTGCTGGGAATTTGTAAACGACTCAGGCATACGTCAGCAGTACATGGATGAGCTAATCGAGGTATAAACAGACAGCGCACTGCATCTTAAACGAAGCTGACACAGAACACATAAAATCACATGACTTCATAGCGAGATTCATTTCTGCCTCCGTACTTCCGTCTCTTACTTCCCTTATTTCCCTTTCGCTCTTGTTAGGAAGGGTAACAATTAGTTTGTATATTTTAGTTTTTGTTTTCATTGTCGAGAATCGCCAATCCACCTGCTGGTTTAAATTCTTATTTTATCCGGTACTCAATATGACCGAAAATCTAATGCATGTACATATCTTATAACAATACACGAGCTAGATCTACTCATTTTCTGTTATACGTTCTTACTTTGCCTCACAATATCTATTACAAATCTTGTAATATGAAACATTCTTATCAAAAAGAAAGTTTTGGGATATAATGATCGCCATTTAATATGAGAATAATACCCTATCTGGCTATTAGACTCTAATATATATTTAATTATAACTTTTACATTTTCTTTCATCTATTTTCATGTTTTCCACTGCACATGCCTTTCATTAGAAGCCTCTAGTTCCCGATAGCAGGGTTATTGATATATATATATATATAGAGAGATATATATACATACATATATATATATGTATTTGTGTATGTGTGTGTGTATGTGTGTGTGTATGTGTGTGTGTGTGTATGTTTGTGTGTGTGTGTGTGTGTGTGTATGTGTGTGTGTGTGTGTATGTTTGTGTGTGTGTGAGTGTGTCTGTGTATGTGTGTGCGCGCGTGCGTGCGTGCGGCGTGCGTGAGTGCGCTCCTTCACAGACCTAACATGGAATATTGAAGATATAATTCTCTAGCAACCTAAGGCACAATCAAAACTTGTACTTGAAATTGAATCATGAATTGCTATAATGGTCTGCATTTTATGTAAGCATACCCACACACATCTATATTTGGGCGACCGGCTGTAGTGTCAACGCAGCTGCAATAAGCGTCGTTTATTTACGTTTTACATTTATGTCAAATATGATACTACCTTTGGCTGATTTCATATGATATTTATATTATTCTTAAGGTGATCTGTAGTGCTTCTTGTATTTCGTTTATGTTAATAATTTCGTACTTACTTCATCTATGTTGATAGGTGTTACCAAATATGTGTATGGCATTTTCGTACGCTGTTTTCCAGTTTCTCAAGGTGACTACTAAATAAACGACCCATAAATACTAAGGTAGGATAGGGTAAAGGTTAGATGTTTACTCTAGTTCTACACAAAGTTACACTACTGAGTACTGCAACACCATTATTTTCCGTGTTTGAGATACTTTATTACTTTCTAGACATTTCTGCGCATATTCCTTCCTTGGCCAGTTCATCCACATTCACAGCTGGTCAAAACTGTGGACCAAAGGTGAGCAGCATGATGTCGGAAAGTCGGCAAACAATAAACGAGCCAATGAGTGAACGCAATATATTTTACTGTATAAAGACTGATTTTAGTACAGTTAGCCAATTATGAGCTTTAACATACAGGTCAACAATTGTAGGCCTAGTATATTTAGACCTGTATGGGGCCAAAGATATTGGGTACTAGCGTCATCTTTGGTAACACTTTTTTTTTACATCGCTATGTGTGTATTGGCCTGTTAGCAGCATTTTGCTTAAACCCAGGTACAAACAACTTGATACTGGGCTAATGTAGCTAAAGCGGTTAATGGGTATGTGACATATATGCTTGCGTATGTGGAAGATATATAATGATTTTCGTATTTCATACATAAGTGTACAGCCACATTTCTGTATATAAAGTTTGGTAAAATTATCCTTTATGCCTTCTAATAGGATAATATTTTGCTGTAACTGTATTTTTGTGTTAAGAAAGAAGATAACATAAGATGAAACCTCTCTTTTGACGGTTCAGAACTCAGTGTAAGATTCTCTTATATTTTGACCGTGAACATCCCAAGGTTAGAGGAGAACAATCATAATGAACTTTGCATAGTTTCCAATAACCAGTTGGAGTCAACGCTGGAATATGGATGTTTATATACTTGCGGCCATGCACAGATATAGCTGTTCAGAATAATGCTGGTCATATGAAGCTAGTTCGTGTAAGATCGTACATTTCATTCTGTTCTGCTTTCGGCCGGTACAGAAAAAAAAAATCTATTATGTTCTGGAGACACTAATAGTGTAAATCGTCTCCAATAAACAAGAATATCCACTGGTTAAAAAACAACAACAAAAAAAAAAAAAAAAAAAAAAAAAAAAAAAAAATAAGCGTCGTTATTTACGTTTTACATTTATGTCAAATATGATACTACCTTTGGCTGATCTCATATATTTATATTATTCTTAAGGTGATCTGTACTGCTTCGTTTATGTTAATAATTTAGTACTTACTTCATCTATGTTGATAGGTGTTACCAAATTTGTGAATGACATTTACGTACGCTGTTTTCCAGTTTCTCAAGGTGACTACTAAATAAATGACCCGTAAATACTAAGGTAGGATAGGGTAAAGGTTAGATGTTTACTCTAGTTCTACACAAAGTTACACTACTGAGTACTGCAACACCATTATTTTCCGTGTTTGAGATACTTTATTACTTTCTAGACATTTCTGCGCATATTCCTTCCTTGGCCAGTTCATGTGGCCTGTTAGCAGCATTTGCTTAAACCCAGGTACAAACACTTGATACTGGGCTAATGTAGCTAAAGCGGTTAATGGGTATGTGACATATATGCTTGCGCATGTGGAAGATATATAATGATTTTCGTATTTCATACATAAGTGTACAGCCACATTTCTGTATATAAAGTTTAGTAAAATTATCCTTTATGCCTTCTAATAGGATAATATTTTGCTGTAACTGTATTTTTGTGTTAAGAAGAGATAACATAAGATGAAACCTCTCTTTTGGCGGTTCAGAACTCAGTGTAAGATTCTCTTATATTTTGACCGTGAACATCCCAAGGTTAGAGGAGAACAATCATAATGAACTTTGCATAGTTTCCAATAACCAGTTGGAGTCAACGCTGGAATATGGATGTTTATATACTTGCGGCCATGCACAGATATAGCTGTTTCAGAATAATGCTGGTCATATGAAGCTAGTTCGTGTAAGATCGTACATTTCATTCTGTTCTGCTTTCGGCCGGTACAGAAAAAAAATCACTCTTTAAGTATTGAACTTCCAATACAGCTGAATCCAAGCATCGAATCCATGATGGTCCATGCCTGGCTCAGTTCTGGAGATACGGCGGATATAAACATATATTATGTTCTTTATATATTATGTTCTGGAGACACTAATAGTGTAAATCGTCTCCAATAAACAAGAATATCCACTGGTTAAAAAACAACAACAAAAAAAAAAACATTGTAACTATCCCAGATTCTCTCTTTGTTCACCTTTATATTTACACACATACATGTATGTGTGTGTGTGTGTGTGTGTACGTGTGAGTGTGAGAGAGAGAGAGAGAGAATAAGAAAATAAGGTGAACAATTAAAATCACAAACTGATTACAGAGATTCGATGAAGACTATCATTCTCATTTGAAATAACGGGAACTACTTACGTCTTCCCCTACCAAGGTAAAGGTTGGTTAGAGGAGGGAAAGGGAGGGGCGGAGGGCGTGTCTTTTTCGGTCACGAGTATAAAAGCCAACAACTCGATGTCCTGAGTATCACACTCGATCTACCTCCACCATGTTCACCAAGGTGAGAATCTCTTATCCTTTTCATACTGCATAATGTTTACCGCCCAAAGGCTAATATAATAGTTTACACGCACATACACATGCATGTACTATATTACGCTAGTAATTCTTTTCAAAACTTTAAAATTTGTGTCTAATTTCAGACCGTCATCGCTTTCGCCCTTGTGGCCGTAACTTTGGCTGCTCCTTCACAGCCTTCTTACGGTTATGCTCCTCCCGCAACCTACGACGTAAGACAAA